GTTGAGAAAGGCCGGAATCGGCAGAAGCGGCCAGACGACCGAGAACATGACGACATAGGAAAACTGAATGGCCGCGTCGAGGTAGTCAAACTTGGGATCAAAGACCGGCAGCGTCGACTCGGCCACAATCTCGTACGCCGTGTGCTGGTTGTCGTCGTCCGAGCGCTCGAGGACGGGCACAAAGAAGCGCGTGACGGCCGAGACGTCGGCCGCGAGCTTGCGCGCCGACTTGTTGTCGGTCGCGCGCTGCATGTGCTTGCGCTTGTCGCGGCGCAGCGTGCAGTTCCACGTGCTGAACCACTTGCGCATGCTGAAGGGCCTTCCGCGGTACTTCTTCATGAGGTACGGCACCAGCGTCTCGAGCGTCATGTTGAGAAACTGCGTCACGACGAGCGGCGTCACAAAGAGCGTGTCGATCGTCAGCACCCCTGGCGTCCACGTCCACCCGACGAGACCGACAATGTCGACCATAAACTAACGCAGTTGAAAAATTTCATGCAAAACAAGTATCAAGTTGATACCTTTTGGCTGATCGTGTCGCCGAACGGCAGGTACACGAACGCGAGGAAGAGGAACCAGAAGAACCAGTTGGACCACACAAACACAAACGACCGGTGGATGAGCTACGCGAAACGACGAGTTAGAGCGAGTGTATACCCGCGTCAAAGTTATACCCGTGCTTCGTACTCGGATTTCTTCTCGCAGTTTTCCCACTCGACAAACTTGGCCGAGAGCCAGTTGAAAAACTCGAAAAAAATGACGTCGATGACGAGGCCGAGCGCGATGCCCTGTGCGAGGATGTAAACCCAGCGGTCCGACCCGATCGTCGACGTCTCCGAATTGAAGCACGTGACGAAATACACGCAGTCGAGAATCGACAGGTCGGTGGGCTTTGGGTTCTTGGTAAGCCCCGCGCGACAGTCGCTGCACATGGGCAGTTGCTTGGCGTAGACGTACCACTAGACACAGATCGTCGGTCCAACGACATCAATAGAAACGCACCTGGATGAACGGCAGCAGCAAAATGCACTGGACGATGCAGCTCACGACCACAAAGAGACCCATGGTGGTCCGGAGCATCTCGAGCTTCCCGTGCTTCGGCGTCTTCTCCCACTGCTGCGTGAGCATGTTCTGCTCCCACGTGTACTGGTAGTTGGAGTTTTCTTCGTTGGCTTCAAACACTGTCTGCTTGTACCCGCCGAGGTTCCACTTCTCGACAAGGAGCCGCGTCTCGCGCCCCCACACGTGCAGCAGAATCGGCGCCCAGATCGTCGCAATGCCAAAGCCAAAGACCGAGAGGCCAATCATGTAGACGCTCCACGACTGCGAGACAAAGTACCGGCACGTGATGTAGTAGACGGTGCCGATGACCACGATCGGGACCAGCGCCTTGGTGTAAATGTGCATGAACGCAAAGAGGAACGCAATGCGCTCGCCAAAATGCAGACGCAGCTCTACGAACATATTCTTGACAGATTGATACAAAATACGATGGCAATACCTTCAATGGCCCAGCGCTCCGAGTTACCCGTGATCGTGCGGCCCCACTTGAATTGGAACGTGCGTTTGCGGTACATTTCGAAAAAGTCCTTGCTAAACCTACATCCACGCGTCAGCGCCATATCTTACGTCACAACGCACTTTTTGTCGTGCAGCGGAAACACGGCGTGGATCACGTCGTCGACGGTCGGGATGCACTGCCGGTCGATCGTCGCCTCGTCCTGGTCGTAGTCGCGCAGCGCGTTTCGGATGATGTTGTGCGTGAGCTGGAGCTCGAGCGCCGGCGAGAAGCAAATGTCCTTGGAGCCTGCGAGGGTCATCAGTTGGAAGAGGACGCGCAGAGATACGCTACCTGTGATCGGCAGGCGCGCTTCACCGAGCCGCGACGTCGCGTTGCCTTGGGCAATCGCAAACTCGTCCTTCTCGCGCATGAACTCGAGGTGCAGCAGCCCTTTGCTCTACGCAACGCATGAGACCCGAGGCTTCCGTCGTGGTTGCTACCTTGTACGGGTCGACGAGGATGCAAATGTTGTCCGTCTGCGCATGCGTCACGTCCCGCTCCTCGACGTAAATGTCATTGTCGAGCAAGATGACGCCGAGGCCCGACTGGACGAGCCGCCGCAAGCACTTTTGCTGCAGCGCGGCAACGTGCGCTGAAATGTCGGCTGGCGTCAAGTGCGCGCGCGTCACGGGGTCCGTCACGCCGCGCAGCCGCGACTTGTACAGCCTACATGGTCTCTCCATGAGCTATCATGAGGAGCGAGCAGCAGCCGCTGTACCGAGCGACTTGCTTCGTATTGCGCAAGATGAGGGCGAACGTGTAGCGCTGCGTCTCTTGGATCGTCACGCGCGGGACGGGGAAGTTGGGCAGGTCTACGCACAGGCGATAGGTATGCTGCAGGCTGCTGGTCGTACCGTTGGGGCGCCGACGCCGGCCTGCCGACGCGTTCGTGATGGTCGAGTTGACCATGGACTTGCGCAGCGCCTCCTTGTTGATAGCGATCGTGTGGTTGTCGACGACGTCCGTGAGGACGTTGGTGGGCGTCGTCTGGTCCTCGTACGGCTCGCGGTCGGTCGAGACCATCGTGTCGGTGAGGAGTCGGCGCACGACCTGCGGCAGCGGGATGCGCAGGCCGGTGCTCGAGTGGGGCTCGGGCGCCATGGTCTCGTACGCGGCCTCCTCGTCGACCGGCGACGGGTTCTGGTTGCGCTGCAGCACGAGCGCCCGGTACGCGGCCTCGCCCGCGGGCGTCCACGGCGTCGTCATGGCCTCTACGCTGTGAGCAACGGAACTATCCAGTTTCAGGCGCGCGGTACTCTCTTGCTCTTTGTATACCCTCGCGGTGCCGAAACCTCCAAGATTGAATATGTTCATGCATTGATAGAGGTTCCAACGAGCACAAGCCACGCTCCGCGATGCTGGATCAACGTTGCACCTGGCTGCCTCATCAACTTTGCCACCTCGTCGACATGGAAAGCAAGGTAGCGAAAGAGGCTCCGTCAAATTCGATCAAAATTACCGTATTGGGTCGTCTTTTTACGTGTAAATGCGGCAAATCGCAAGGCCGATCGCTGCCATCTGAGAACGCTGCGAGAGCGACGAGGCTTAGAGCCTACACTAGCCAGACTCAATGGGCGCGATGGACGGGAGAGTTTGAGAAGCGGTCGCCATGCATGAAGTGGCGCCATGGCTAGCTGAGTGTTAAAAATGCATATTTTGCAGATTGGCCAACAACGTGGAGCATGGCTGAGGTACCGCGCTTTGACGGTCCCGTGCTCGTGGATCGCGCCGGCTTTAGCGCGTGGCAGGCCGAATTCATGACGTCGGCGACGGCGCTGGGCTACGCGACGTACTACATGGAGGCAACCTTTGACGACCCAGCGGCCTTTGCGGCGGCGATCGCCCAGCTCGAGGCGAGGGACAGTGTCGTCGAGCCGGTCGACGCCGATGCTGCGCAGCGCTACGCCCAGTTCAAAGCCTTGCACGTCTTCTATCAAGAGCAGCTCCACGCCCGCGCTCGCGTGTACCTTGCGTCGGCAGTCGACCCATCCCTGCAGCGGACCATGGCCACGCTGACGTCCTGCTACGACGCATACCAGCACCTGCTGCAGCGCTTTTCCCCGAGCTCCGCAGCGGCAATCCTCGCGTCACTCGCTGCTGCGGCAGGCGACGAGCCAGCGACGGTCGTCCGACTTGTGGACGAGCTGCTGCCAGCCCTGCGCTTGGCGATCGTCGGAGACAAGGACTTGTGCGGACTCTCCGTCATCGACTACGATACTCACGTGTGGAAAGAGCTTCGAGCGGCGCTCATGGCGCAGTGTTTTGTCGACGCGCCACGCTGCCAGGCGGCGCTCGCTGGGGAATCGCCAGCACCAGCGTCCTCGGCGCCGTCGTCGACGGGCACAGAAGCGAGTCGTGCTCTCGGTGCAGCACATGAGCCTGGTAGCGATAAGGCGCCGAGCGACGCCGAGCCTGGCCCGAAGCGGCCGCGCCTCCACGACATTCTCTCGGCCGCAGTGTCGTCGGACGACGAAGATGGCGACGACGAAGCGCTGCCGCGGGACGAGCCACCACTCGCGCGGACCGTCTATCTCACGCAGCTCAACCACAACGTCACGGAGGCGGTCTTGCAGGAGCTGTGCGAATCGTTTGGTCTCGAGGTACCAACCATCACTGCTCTTTGCGCTCACGCGAATCACACAGACGGACCCAGCGACGCACTTTCCCGTCATCGACGTCTACCTCAACTACCGGACGCGCCGGCCGCGCGGCGACGGCATCCTTCGCTTCACGACGGCCCAAGGCGCAGTCGACGCCGTCGATGCCCTTCACAGTGCGATCGACTGCGCGCGTTTGCCCTCTGACGCACGAATATGCGATAGACAAGCAGGCGCGGCCGCATCTGCCGGTGCTTCACGCGCGGCTGCTGGATGCCGCCACCTCCGCGCTCTTAACGGCGCAGATGTACATGCCGAGGACGCTCTGGACGTGCGCAACCTGCCGCCGCGAGATTTCTTGCTGGCGCAGCGCCTGCGACGAGTGCAAGCAGCCCCGCATCCGACCCACCGCGCGCAGCGAGCTCTTTCCGACCGACTGGCTCTGCCCACTGTACAACTCCTCGACGAGGCTGCATCTCACAATGCGTGTCTAGATGTGCCAGCGCCAATCCCAGCGATGCCGTCAAATGCAGTGGCTGTCGCCAGCCACGTTCGCTTACGTAAGCACATCGACTAACTACTACTACCGAGGACCGTCGCTACCCGCTCGAGCTTTTGAATCAACGTCTCGAGCGCGCTCGTTGCGTCGGTCGTTTGCGTGAGCTCTGGCTCGACGCGCGCTGCGCAGTCGTCGAGCACCTTTCGCACGTGTTTGGAGGCCTTGCGCGAGGCCAGGCGCATGCGCCGCGCGGTCGCCATGAGCCTACGATCGATCGATCGAATGAATAAGGTCCTAGTCGTCGTACGCGTGAAGGCGCAGCGTGACCTTGTGCTTGTCGACGCTGGCGCGCTGGCAGCGCCAGATCGTCTGCATGACGGCCGCGGCATTGTCGCGCGCACACACCGTGTCGGCGCGCTCGGTGATGGTGCGCATGGTGTCTTCTTCGGCAAGCGTGATGATGAGCGCGTCGACAAACACGACGCGGAGCAGCGAATTGAAGACGAGGCCGCCGAGGACGCCGCCAATGAGGCAAAAGAAGCGCCCGGCAGTCGTAATGGGCACGACCTCGCCATAGCCCACCGTCGCCTACACGCCGTCGCATGAGGTGGCGACGGGTGTGTCGACGCACCATCGTCACGATCGAGATCCACAACGCATCCGCAAACGACGTCACGTTCGGGTTGAGCGTGCTACGCCGCGAATGACGATCGGTTTCAAGCCAGAGTGATGGTACCCTTCGATCTGGATGATCGCAATCGAGGTCAGGATGAGGTTGACGAGAAGCGCGAGCGAGGCAAAGGCCGCGGGGTACACGTGGAAGAGGTACTTGATGGAGAAGAACGGCGATGACGACTTGACGTTGTGGATCGCCCCTACGGCCGACCGCTCGTTGCTTTCTGGCGTTCAAGGAACCGGACGTACCGAGGAACGCGATGCTGTTGGTGTTGAAGCCGAGGACGTTGCGCACGAGGCGCCCAAAGACGTAGACGCGCACGAGCACGACGAGCCCTATGCAGCTCATCGCACGATATTCAACGTCGGCAAGCGGCCGCACCAAACTGGTTGAGGTTGTACGCGATCTCAACATAGCAATGGCCTTGGTCGCGGAGGAGACCGGTCGCGCACACAGACTCGATCGCTCCCTGCGATGAGTAAGACACGAGGCGCCTCGTCGCAGGCACCTACCTCGGTCGCGGCCGAGATGTACTGATGCACGAGCACGGTGTAGTCGAGGCGCGGCAGCATGTGCACAACGAACACGATCGTTTCCAGCATGTAGAGCCTGCGCACATGAAGAGGCCCATGCGAGTAAGCAAGCGGAACGCACCAGCGCTTCGTGAACGCGCGGTGGTAGAGGCGCGTGCGCGGGTCGAGCTGTCCCGAGGTCACCTCGATGGCGCAAATGCCGTCTACTGGTCGTTCATGGGTGGTAGCGATGGGGAGAGTTCACCATAGCGAAAGTAGATGAGCACGACCAGCGTCACCGTGACGACCGTGAGAAAGGCTTTCGTAAGGGTCAGCGACGCCGCCGTCTCTGCGTCAGGGAGTCCGTTCACCCACGAGGCATAGCTCCAGTACAGCTGCAGTGGACTCTGAGTAGATCCATACGATCTGGTAGTGTACCTTCATGATGGCCGACTCGCCGAGGATGCTTATGAAAGCGAGGACGCCGATCCAGTTTTCAATGCGGCGCTGGCTCGCGTACATCTAGTCTTAGATACATGGAGAGCATGTCGCGAATCCAAAGCGCACGTTTTTGAGGCGGTTGATGCGCTGCAGCTCGGTGACGGTTGTTTGCCACAGCTCGTCGTTGACCAGCATGCGCTGCTTGAGCTAGACCGCGTGTTGGAACCAGACTCGTATGCATCTCATGCCGCACCTGGGACCGGTAGAGCTCGTCGCGGGGCTGGATCGCGTTGCGGCGCGCGGGGCGGAGGCGCTTGGCGATGTAGCGCACGCTTCGCGCCGGCAGCATTAGCTGGACGTCCATGAGGCTCAGGCGGGGCATGGCAACTCGTAAAATTAGACGGGCGACTCAAATGCATCACGAATCTATTTTGAGATCGCACCGCGTATTTATTCGAATGCCGTCTTGAGATTGAGATTTGAGTTTGAGCCGAATACAAAGCGGGTTAAGTTGATTAGATTAGATAGGACGCGCTTACACGCAGTGCGTGATGACGCGGTAGACGAGCGAGTGCTCGACGAGGTACTTGTGCTTCTTGACGTGGACCGACGCGCCGACGATCGGGATCGAGCGCAGGAAGAGTGACATACTGCACGCGATCTGGACGCACGTGACGCACTGCCGCCACTTGTCGACCGCCGCTCCCATCTCGAGGCGCCCGGACGACGAGAATGCGCCGAGGAGGAAGCAGAGCACGGGCCCCAAGAGCGCGTTGACGCCGTATGGGGCCAAAGCGCTGATGGCAAAGAAGCCCATCATGACGGCCAGGACAGCAGTCAGCGTCCATTGGCCGGCGGTCGCAAAGGCATACGCCGCGGCATGGCCGGCGCTGAGCACCGCGCGCATCCAGAGCTCAGCGTAGAGGAGGCCGAACGCCAACGGCTTCCAGAGCGCGACGACCGCCGTCACAAAGAGGACGTCGAGGATCTTGTTTTCGAGGAACTTGTACCCGAGGAAGCGCCCGAGGCTCGTGCGGTACGCATGCGCACCCCACCGGACAGGCGGGACCACGGCGCGGGTCGTAAAGCCCTTCTTCTTGGCCCAGGCGTAGGCGTCGGCCTTGCCGAGTTCGTAGAGCCACTGGATGCTCTCGGGCGCCGGCGGATACACGGCCCACCACATGGGCACGTACTGGGACGGCTTGATGTCGGCCTGCGTGCAGTAGAACGGACTGACCGTGACCGTCGTCTCGTCCACGACGGGCTGGAAGTCAAAGATGCCGCCGTCGAAGACCCACTCGCCGTTGAGGTGGAATGGGAAGCCGGCGATCGGCGTCGCGCAGCACGACGCCAGCACCGCACTTACGCCATGCTCGGCGTCCGAGAAGGTGCTCACGCGGCGCGAGCGCCACTTGGAGATGCTCGAGTAGACAACGATGCACTTTTGCGTCTCGTTGAGCTCCGTGATGCGCTCAAAGTTGCCATACCGACGGACGGCTTCGCGCAGGTAGGCGCGCACGTTGCAGGCGCCAGCGAGCGACGCCCGGGCGAGAGGCACAAAGTCGTTGACGACGCCGTGCACCATAGCATCGAAATCGCCGTCGAGCGCGAGGCCGAGCGCTGCGAGCGAGCCGCCGGACGAGCCGAGGACAGTCGCGTCGCGGTGGAGGCCGAGGTCCTGGAGCGCCTTGGCGACGCCAAAGTGGTAGGTCTTGAGCCAGCCGGAGCAGGCAAAGGAGTAGCTGGATGGACGGGCAGTCATCTGATTGCTATGAGTTCGTAGTTGCTGGATCACTGCAAGTCCGTGACTGCGGACGGTGTCGTCGACGAGCGAGCTTGGCACAGTACTGTACGAGGTTCAACGTGGCCGCTTGTAGCTCAAGCACCAAGAACCCTACGAAGTCGCACGTGATTGGCTCCTGCAAAGTTGTTCCAGCGTTTGATTGGTGCAGAAATGATAAAGCCTCGTGATTGGCGCTTTGGATGACGTCATCGATCCCGCCCCAGCGTCGCCGATCGAGTCACGCCGGGTGGCAAGTGATTCCCGGCTCGTGGCCAAGTGAGATTCTGACGCGCTGTCGTCACGTGGCTGTGATTGGCTGAAATGGAGAGTGACAGAGACGAGTCAGGGCACGCTGATTGGCTGGACATCAAACTGGACAGATCTTTGGTCGTTTGAGAGGCGGTTTCCAGTGCGCGCACTTGGGCCGCAGTTTGCATTGCATGTGCCGAAGGAGCCTGATGGCGCTTTAAGTGGCAGCAAATTCATGCAAAAGAGAGCGTGTGCCTAGAGATACCTAGAGAATCTAGAGACGCGGATAGATGGAGTCAATGCATCGCTCTCGTCGCTCCCTTGATAACGCGATCTTCGGAACCCACCAGCCGTTTCGAACAGAATCCTGTGCGGACAAAGAGCAGAAACCTCGCTTTACGAGCCTGTTTCGACCTTCTCGAACAAATTTACTTTGTATTGGTCCGATTGCGATGATTCACCCCTTGGACATTCTGACATGAATGGATGCACTTCAAGTGCGCGCCGGAGGTTCGCGCACTTTTGCCACACGTTTTTTCGAACGCCACTCCTTCAACTTGGCGAAAGATGATGTGGCGGCTGCTGCTGCTCGCGGCCTTCTGCCGCGCCGAGTCGCCGCACGATGCGATCTTCGCGGCGCTGCATTCGCCGCCGATCGAGATCCTCTCGCCGACGCAGAACCAGGTGCTCGAGTCGTCGAGCCTCAGCATCGGCATCGTCGTGCGCGAGCCGTCGCGAGCCCTCGAGAACCCACAGGTCTGCGTCGGCGTTGCGCCCGTCGCTCGCCGGCAGAGCTCGAATCTGAGCGAAAACTGCTTTGAGCAGACCAACATGACGACGTTCCACGCGACAAACCTCGAGCCCGGCACCCGCTACCACGTCAACGTGCAGCTCGTCGACCGCGGCAACGTCATCGCCATGTCGCTGCGCCACTTTCGCGTGGCTGCCGTGCCTCTCGAGCACGGCTACGTCACGGTCGAGGCAGCGCTCGAGGCGGCCGAGCACCTGTACACCGATGGCCAGCTGGAGGCGGCCATGGCCGTTTACGAACGCATCCTCGCCCAAGTGCCCGACCACGAAGGTGCCACGTACGCGTACATTGTCGTGCTGGTCAAGGCCAAGCAAGACGAGACGTTGATCTCGGTGTTGGGCGCGGCGCTGCAGCGCAACCCGTCGCACGCCATGTACCACAACCTCCTCGCGATCTCTCTGCGCCGCAAGGGACAGCTGGATGCTGCGCTGGACCACTGGCGCCGCGCCATCGCGCTCGACCCCAACTTTGTTTTAGCGCAAATGAATCTTGGCTCGGTCTTGCAAGACCACGGGTACCTCGAGGCCGCGCTGCCGGAGCTCCGCGCGGTCGTCCATCGCCTCGACGATCTGCAAGACGACGCGATCGCGTACGAAGCTGTCGGGCGCCTGTGCTCGGTCTTCATCGACTTTGAAGAGATCCATAACGCGCAGCAGTGCTTGAGCACCGCTCTCGAGCGCTGGCCCACGGACGCGCAGTTTCGCATTGCTGCTGGCAACCTCTTTTGGCGCGTACGCAGATTGCACCTGACGTTGCCTCACATCGTGTCTAGGCCTACGACGTGGACGCGGCGCTCGATCAGTACGCGATCGTAGAGCCCGACGTGGTTCCTGCGATGGTACTCACTCGATATTCTTCAGTCCAAAGCCGACCTGCGTAGGTGTACGCCGCGGTCGCTCGCGAGCACCAGGGCGACGCGGAAGGCAGCGCGGCCTTGCTGGACAAGGTCGCATCCGCGTGCGAAGGGAGCTAACGCCATTTTAGGCGCAAGCGCTGGCCATCACGCAGGGCAAGCCGTTCAGCTACATCCAGGTTCTCCGCGCGCTGGTGCTGCCATGGATCCACCCGAGTGACGACCGCTCAGTCGATGCCGTGCGCGCCGCCATGGAAGCCAGCCTCGACGCGCTCACCGACCTGCGTACGCCCTGTCTCGTCGCTCGAAACTCATCATTTGCGATGCAGAACCCGATGACATGGCTCCGTCACGCCGGCGCTTCAGCCTCGCGCTTCCGCTGCACGCGCACCTGCGCAACAACAAGCATCTGCGCGCCAAGATAGCAGACGCCTTTCGGGGCTTGCTGCCCGCGGGTTCGAGGCAGGTGGCAGCGCAGCGCTTCGACTCGCCGCATTTTGGCGCCGTCGCGAACCTCACGCGCACGCGCGTCGGCTTTGTCGGGCGACTCGCTCGCGCCTCGTGGCTCCGCGAGACGTTCTCTGCGCTCATCCAGCAGCTCGACACGCAGCGCTTTGAGGTGTTTTTGTTTACGCTCGACGCCAAGGAAGACGGCGCGGCCGACTATATCGAACACGTACGCGCGAGGGTGATTGCGTGATCCCACGGGCCGTCGTAGATCGTCGTGGTCGCCGACGCAGTGGCGCAGGCCGCCGCCATCATCCGCAGCTGCAGCATCGACGTGCTCGTCTACCCCAGCGTACGTCACTCCTCGTACAAGTGAATTCCCACTGAAATAGCTGGGCGACGACGCGACGACGTATGCGCTGAGCTTGCTGCGCCTCGCTACCGTCCAGGCCGTGTGGTACGGCCTCCCAGAGACGTCGGGCGTGCCCACCATCGACTACGCTCTGACGTCGACGCTCGAGGCAGCGGGGCACGAAGACCACTACACCGAGGCGCTCTTCCCACTCACGTGCGTTGCTTGGCGACACACGCTTCATAATGATCGCCATGTAGCGGCTTCGGCCTCTTCGTTCCGGCCCACGAGCCCGCGCCAGTGCCCGCGGCGACGGTCCAAGGCGTCCGAACGGTCCTCAAGCAGATATTCGACTGGCCTGTCGACGACCTGATGCGCGTTTACATCCTGCCGAGCGTACGAACTTCGGATCTCCAACGCGAAATGGATGCTGCTGCTAGGACATTGTGTCGATGCACGCCGACATGGTCGTCGCCATCAAGCGGCTGCTGCGGCTCGACGGGTCTGCGTGCGTGCTGATTGCCTCCGCGGACCAGTCCGCGACGCTCGAGAGACAGCTGCTCGAGCGCATTGGCCTCCACAGCCCTCGCGTCCAGTTTAGTCGCCTCGAGTTCTCGATGCGCGTCTTGATGCGCGGCGCGGACGTCGTGCTCCAGCCGCTCTACACCCCGCGCGTCCAGCCGACCATCCACGTACAGCAAATAGTGTCGAGAGACGATTGAGATAGCGTAGGCGCTCCGAGAAGGCATCCCGATCGTGACGCTGCCGAAAGCCTTTTGGCGCACGCGCCTCGCGGCCGCCATGCTCGAGGAGGTCGGCGTCGCCGACGTGTGCGTGACGCGACCGTCGGCAGCTACGTGCGCCGCGCGATCCAGCTCGCGTCGAAGCGCGCACTGCGCGACGAGGTCATCGGGCGCTTGGTGCGTGGACGGGATGTTCTCTTTGAGGACGAGACGGCCGTCTCCGAGTGGACGCGCTTCTTTACCTTTGCTTCCGATGGGCCCCCGAGCCAACGCCAACCGCTTCTTTTGACGTAGCCCTTTCTTATAATGCCCTTTTTGTTTCTCTGTGGTCACCAGTAAGATGACGTGGCGTCCTCCGAGGCGAGCTGCAATGTTGACGAGCCAATCGCATCGCGACACACAACCTGCATCGTTCGAGCCCTACTTCGTAGAGCTCTTCGTAGCGTTCGAGCCCTACTTCGTAGAGCTCTTCGTAGCGTTCGGGTGTAGCATCGAAACAAGTCTTGAAGACGCGACAGACTTCTTCTTTACGAGTGCTGAATGCAGTTGAGTCGCTCCAAAGCGAGCATGAGGGCTTGCGTCCCGAGCTTGCCGCCGTTGGCTTGCGCCTATCGGAAAGCTTTCAGTATGGAGTGATTGAGTTGCACCTACCTGCACGGCAAGGTACAGCTGGTTGGCGAGCGCAAGACCCGGCAGCGCCAAGCCCATCCTAAGAGACGGTGAGGAACGAGCGAACACGACTGAGAGCGTACGTCTGGGACTCCTTGAGCGCGATGCCCATGTCCTTGATGAAGTGCTCGACCATGAAGCCCGGGTTAAAGTCGCGGCGAGCGATGCGCGGGCCCATGTTGTTGATGGACCACGAGCCCGCAGCGCCGGCGCCGACGGCCGCAATCGCTTCGTTCAAGTCCAAGCCCGCCTTGTGCGCATACAGGAGGCCTTCCACGACACCAATCATGTTGGTCGCAATCAGAATCTAGAAAGCATCTTAGACGGCGCTGCAGGCTGAAGGCTCTGTACCTGGTTGACCATCTTGGTGTGCTGGCCAGCACCCGCGCCGCCCATGTGGCGGATGTTCTTGCCCATGACGTTGAAGAGCGGCAGAACCTTCTCGAGCGCAGCAGCGTCGCCGCCGACCATGATGGACAAGCGGGCTTCCTTGGCGCCGACGTCGCCGCCCGAGGCAGGTGCTATGTGACCGTCCAGCCTCATGACCGGTACCGTTGTACTGTACCGTCAATGCACGAGACGCCCTTGGCCTGGGCGGCAGCGTAGATCTCCTTGGCCAGCGACGGCTCGCTCGTCGTCATGTCCACAACGATGCCACCGGGCGAGAGCGTCGAGAGCACGCCTTGGTCGCCCAAAATGACCTGGCGCACGTCGCTCGGGTAGCCGACAATCGTAAACACAACGTCTACAACCAGCATGAGGCGTGCTTGGATAGAGTTTGTCGGACCCGACTGCGCGGCGACGGCGGCTGGCGTCGGCGCGTACGTGGCGCCCTTGGCCACGAGGCTGTCGCACTTGCTGGGCGTGCGGCTGAAGACCGTGACCGTGTAGCCGGCGTTCTGCGCAGATACAATGTAAGAGCCCCATCGCGTGGAGGAGGCGGCTGTACGAGGATGTGTTCGCACATGCTCTTGCCCATGATGCCCGTGCCAATGAACCCAATGCGCATCGTCATCTTCTTGATGATCGTCTTGGCCGTCCAAATGATTTCTGGTGAACGTCCGAGGATCAACATATCCGGATACAACACGTGTGTTGCATATCCGGTGGGTGTGCATTTCACACGTAGGTTTTTCACTTCTCGGTTGTCATGCATGGTTGTCACCAAGCTAGCACAATGTCCGCGCGGCTTTCATGCCACCACCAGCCGCCATTGCCATGGCACAAGTATTCGCTCGTACTATTCACTTGACATGTGTCGTAGCTGCTTGTAATCTGCACTCGACAGTATGCTCATTATTGCATGGAATGGTCGAAGCATGGCTACTGTAGGAGGAAGCAACGGTTGGTATTGGCCGTTCAAGACAGCTCCACTGCGAGTCAACATCAACCATGTGCCAGGACGACCCACGTCTACGATGGCGTTTGCGCCGAGCTCTCAATCAGGATACGTATGCGTGGCGCTCTTGCCGTTTTTCACGTGAGAAATGAAGATTTTCACGTGATGATGCATTCCCCAAACAGCAACATGGACGTCCTCCTCGAGTGCCAAGCGCCGTACTGCGACTGGATCCTCGCGGGCCGCAAGACGGTCGAGACGCGCCGGTACCCGTGTCCCGACCACCTCATTGGCCAGCGCATCTGGCTCCTTGAGTCGCCCGCAGGCTCGGTGCGGCAGTCGGCCGTGCCGGACCAAGTCGACCTGACGACGACGCCCGGTCTGCGCATCGTGGGCCACATCATCGTCGCCGCCTCCGTGCGCTACACGTCGCAGGCGCATTGGGACGCAGATGCGTCGCGTCATTGCGTCCCGGCGTCGTCGGGCTACGAGTGGTCGCCGGACGTCGACGTCTACGGCTGGGAGCTCTCGGCCGCGGTCGCGACGACGACGGCGCCGCCGATCTCGACCATTGCCCGCGCGTACCGGTCCTTCTTCCTCCCCGTGCTGCACGTTCCGACCGTCGACATCTCGGACCCGACGTCGCCCGACGTGCTCGACGCGATCCGCGCGCAGTGCGCGACGCTCGGCTTCCTCCGCGTCACGTGGAAGAACTTTCCCGTCGACGTCGTCCGAGAGGCCCATGACGCCACGCGCGCGTTCTTCGCGCTCTCGGATGCAGAGAAAGCCACGGCCTCGAAGGCTGCGACCCAAAAGACCAACGCGTCGTTCTGCAGCACGGGCTTCCGCGGCAACACGAGTGCGTACAACGCCGGCGGCCGCGAGTCGTGGTCGTGCGTCCGGCCCGACTTTGACCCGAGCGCGCCGCCGCGAGGCGCGTACTACGCCAACCCGACGCACTTTGCGCAGGCGCCGGACCCGCAGGTGCCGTGGCCCGCGCCGGCCATCGCGCCAACGTTCCGCCCGGCGGTGACGGCCTACTACGCGACCGTGGACGACTTGGCGCAAAAGCTGCTGCGCATGTTTGGGCAAATTCTGGAGCTCGAGGACCCTGAGTCGCTCACAAAGCTCTCGAAAGACCACGCGAGCAGCCTCAACCTCACGAGTCTCCGCTTCGAAGACGACAGCAACGTGGCTGCGAACGCGATTTTGCCGGCGCACGGTGACGTCACGAGCGTCACGATCTTGTCCCATGACGCGTCCGACGGGGCGAGCGGGACGGCCTGCCTCCAGGTGCTCAACCCGACGTACGACGCGCACGAGCCGCATAGTTTGCGCTGGATTGCGCTGGCGGACGCAGCGCCCGACGCGCCGCCGTCGTTCCTCGTGAACCTCGGACAGATCATGGAGCGCTGGTCCAACGGCCGGCTCAAGGCGACGCTGCACCGCATCGCGCGGCCCGTGCACCCTTCGATTCTGCGCCGCCGCCAAGCGATCGTGTTCTTTTGCGTGACCAACTACGACGCAGAGCTGCGACCATTGGTGGGCGACACCAACACGTACACGCCTGAGCGCATGGCCGCGTACGCAAATGCGCGCCTCGGGCCGTTCCACGACGCGTCCAAGAGCCTTCTGGAAGCCTACGCGATCTACAACAAAGATATCATCGCGCCGGACGCGTACATTGCCCTGGCGCAATAACGTAGAAACCGATCAACGAACCGCCGGTTGTCCTTGTATTCATATTGCAAATGTCGGTGGCATGAGAGCCTTTTCTCACTCACAAGGAATGCGAGCTGGTCTTGATGGCGCGAAGCACCATTTTAAAGTGATTTCATTGGCTGATTCTAAATCATTTGGACCAATCACGCGTATTTCAGCTCGGCGCACGTCGAGCCGAGGCGCTTCGTGCGCGAATTCAAGGTTGAAAATGAAATCGCTCATACTTCGCATGACGATAGAGGACACCTTGGAGAACTCAGAATGCTACTTCACGTCGGCGTTAGAGCCGTACACCCAGCGTTATTAGCATTTCTATATCTATTTGTGGTATATGCCACAAACAACCACATATGACCATTTGTACGCTCATGAGGATCTGGGGCCGCAGCGCGCAGGCTGTGGCCTCTTGCGGATGAGGTTGGCACATGCGCTTTGACATCGTCTTGTTTATGTGCACACTGCACCATGCACGACCTCGGGAAGTAGCCGTTCCAACAGTGCCACGAAAGGCGACTCGTTCAACCAACAAAGTGCAGACAGCAGTGTCGACAGTGCTAGGGCGGTATTAAATTCACGGCAAAACCCTCGTTTTCCAACTCTGCGTCACGGATGCACGTTGTTGAGCCGCTCCAAAGCGAGCATGAGCGCATGCGTCCCAAGCTTTCCGCCGTTGTCTTGCGCCTACAAGCCACGAGACAGCACTCAACGTATTGTGGTTCGGTCGTACCTGCACGGCAAGGTACAGCTGGTTGGCGAGCGCAAGACCCGGCAGTGCCAAGCCCATCCTACGCACGAATGCATGGCACGATCTCAAATACGAATCACGTACGTCTGGGACTCCTTGAGCGCGATACCGAGGTCCTTGATAAAGTGCTCAACCATGAAGCCCGGGTTGAAGTCGCGGCGGGCGATGCGAGGACCAAGGTTGTTGATGGACCACGAGCCCGCAGCGCCGGCGCCAACCGCCGCGATCGCTTCGTTCAAGTCCAAGCCCGCCTTGTGCGCGTAGAGAAGGCCCTCGACCATCCCAATCATGTTGGTCGCAATCAAAATCTACCATTTCCAACATCAACGAGCGGTCAACCAGACGAGTCGACGCACCTGGTTGACCATCTTGGTGTGCTGGCCAGCACCCGCGCCGCCCATGTGGCGGATGTTCTGCCCCATGACCTGGAAGATCGGAAGCACCTTCTCCATCGCAGCAGCATCACCGCC